GCAGCAAACCCCTCGTTTTTGCAGCCCTTGGAGAGCTGGCATTTTTGCCCGTGCTCCATCCCAAACTGACGTGCCCTCAGCCTTCCTTTGACAGGGGAGCAAAGCTAAATGGGAGAGCCTTAATGGCTCAGCAGCGCTCCCACGCCAGCACTGCCTCTAAGGATGAGAGAACTTACTAAATAAAAACGACCTTCCTTAGCTGGGGCAGTGTAATTTCAGCCCTGGAACCCAAAACTCTCCTCAGTTACAAACCTCAGGCTTTGAAAAGAACATTAAAGGCTCATGTTGAGAGGCTGATTTTAGATTTTTTTTTTATTTTTTTTTTTTTTCCAAAGGAGAACAGAAATGTGTCTCCAGTAGGGAAAACTCTACTTGTGCCTTCTCCCATGGATAGAGGGGAACTTAATTCCCTGCCAGCACTCCAAGCTGTAGTCTCAGTGCAGGACTGCAGTGGCCTTCAAAAGCTTTAATTTATAAATAAAGTATCTATTCCTACATAAATGTCACATGAAAGTGTATCACAGAATTCAGCACAGCATCTGCCCAGCCACAGCTCCAAGTGAAAATGTTATTCCAATTCTTGCCTATATTTTCCATCCAAATATTTGTGTAGTTTCAAATAGCCCAAGGAACCTGGTCCTGACATCACCCTCATGGAAATCAATAAAAGCTCTGCCTCTAGCTTCAGGCAGTGGCCTTGAGCATCCTGTAGTGACAACTTTGAAATCCTAAACCCAAACCTCCACAATCATTGAAGGAATTAATTTATTTCTATTTACAGCCATCCTGCGCACATGGGGCAGTTTTTAAACTGGGTAAAGAAGGTTGTAAGGGATGGTGGCTGATTTGGAGCAGCTATCTCAAAACAGCCTGCTCAGAACCAGGAGCACTGATGGATTTCCCCATCAGAGGATACAGCAGCTTCAACAATGAACACTCATCCCCCTCAGCCAGACTATGTGCATCCCCTGACCAGGGAGCGAGGAGTTTTACTTCATATAAAATTCCCTTGGAAAAAACTGATCCTGGGATTAATAACAACAATCCCAATTTTGTGGCAAACTGCAAAACAAGAGGGTGCTGCTAGGGAAGTGTGAAGTGTGGGGATTCAGCAGCACAGGGCTGCTGGCCACAGGGGATGGAGGGAGAAGTGGCATTGAAGGAAGGGGAATGGCAGGAGGGACAAGTGAACAGAGATATCCTGAGGAGAAACAGATGGCAAAGAGAAGGAAGATGCAAAAGGCAGTGAAGCATAAGAAAAAGTTCAAGAATCACTACTACAGTTTAAATAGAATCATCCAAAAGTCAGCAATTATGTGTATGTATTAAACTTCATCACCCTGCACTGCACACAACCTTCAGATGGAGTTAACAGAAACCTACATGCACAGTTCTCTATTACATCATCTGCTTTTTTTTAAAAAAAAAAATGAACAAATCTGTTAAAAATTCCTTAGTTAGGTATATCACCCTAAATATTGATGCATGCTCCATTCAGCAGGGCAATGTATGCAGCCAAAAGCAACCTCAAGCTTTATGGAACATTAATAATTAGAATGAGCACTACAGATGGAATTCAGATTTGAGAAGGGAAAAGCCTTAGCACTAAAAAGTACTTGCCCGAGACTGAAATGGGAACACAGTTGTGTAACCATGAGTCTTGTTACCTTCTAGAGGTCACCAACACACAAAAAATCATCCCAGGCATTCAGAAACTTGTTTTACTGGGACATAACAGACTAAAGGTTGCTTGAAGCTGAAGTTTCTCGCTGGCTTCTGCTTTGCCATAAAGCAAAACACATTAAAAGAAGAAAGGAGCTGCTCTGTGGCTCTGGTGCACGTGAGAATTCTGCATCAATATCCACAATGAACAAAGCTGGTCTCTTTTATTGCTTTTTTTCACTACTTGAATATCTGCCTTGTAGGAGAAATTGCTTTTGCCTAATGCTGTGTCTGGTGCTTCAGGTGTGGTCTGGCTGGCTTTTTACAGCATATTCAAGAGTGCTTTTAAATCATCCCTGGGCAGAAATAGGTATCAAAAGTGGTGACTTTTAATGAGCTCCATCACCTACATCCAAGTGGCAGCTACAGAGCATTAGCAGCCTGTGCAAACACAGAAAAATCTCATCCCTTTTCCATGAGGACAGCACTGTGCTCTGCTCCTGATGGCAGGGTAACAGGTTCTTGTTCATACATCCCTGGGGGGGATTAGAGTGAAATGACACTGAATGAAGTATTTTTATTTACAAAAAATGTATGGCAAGTTGATTTTGGAACAATTTGGTTGCAATGGAAAAGAGGTACATAGCTGTTCTGGGTGCTGCAGTTTTGATGCCCGTTTGTTAAAGTGATGGTCTCAGTCTTCATCCATCAGGGGTGGAGGAAATCCACGGAAAATGAAGGTTCGGATTCAGGTGCTGGTGCCCAGGGACCTTCCCTGGAGGGGGAGTTTTCCACTCTCTTCTGGAGCACTGTGGATCGTGGGCTGCACTGTGCATCATGAGTCTGGGGGCACTTTGGGGATCACTGATGGTTCATGGCCCCTTCTCAGACATGACTGCATAGCTGAGCCAGTTGTGCCTTCTCAGAAGGGATGGAAACCATCAGGTCTGCCTGTGAATGTCCCGATACCTCCCCCAGGAGGGCGTTTACAGCTCAGCCGGGTTTGTAAGGGAGGACATGGGCATGACAGAAAGTGTCACTCCACCTCCACAGGGTCTGTTTCCACTGCCCTTCTCCCCCTTCTGACCCACACCCGGTTTGTTGGTTTGTGGTGCTCATCCTCTGGCGGTGTGCTGGGTGTCCATCCCCCCTGTATCTGGGCTGTTCTTAGCCAGATCAGAGCCTTTGCCACCACACACCCAAAACCTCTCCTCCACCTTCGGCTGCGGAGCGCAAACCTGGCCTCAGCAAAGCACCCTGTTGCTTTTGCGAATTATTAACCCTTCACGTTTCAGTCCCTCACACACTGCCAGATCGTTCTGTTTGCACTTTTCTCGTCGGAAATGTAAGAATTCTTAGCTGAGGACTGAGTCGTCAGCCCAATTTCTAAGCAGCTCATCCGGACCTGACCCCGGGGGCAACTCCATGAGTGCCCTTTCCAAAAGTCATCATCGGATGGATCTGGGCTGGAAAGAACCTTAAAGATCATTGGTTCCAAACCTTTTGCCACAGGCAGGGACACCTTCCACTACACCAGGCAGCTCCAGGCTGGCCTGGCCGTCCTTGCCCCGTCCCACATCGCTCCGAGCAATCATCCCGTCTGTCACCGCTGCCGAGGCCGCTCCTTCCCCGCCCGCTCTCACCTTGTCGCACCCCGCCGCGACCCTCCCTGCGCTCCCCCTCCCCTCCATCCCTCCCTCTCCGCGCTCCCCTCCTCTCCCGGCGCTTCCCCGTGCGCGGCCCCTTCCC